TTTATTTATTCAAAGATAGGGGGTGTTTTAGTGGCATAATACACAGTTCCCTCATGACCTGATCCCTCACGCCGGAAGACTGAGGTACACATTTGTAATAGATTAGGTATACATTGAATAAAACAACATAATAAGATACATATAGCAATAATAATAACAACCCCTTGCAATAAGGAGCGAAACCATGATCCATCAGGAAGCCAGGACCACAGACTGTCCCAGAATGATGCATTAAACCCATCAGCTCCAGATTGATGCTGAGCAATACGATCTTCCATGTCCTGAACAGTTTTTGTAATGTTTGGCTCATAATTATGTATAAAAACACAACAATGTGAATGAATTAAAGCACAAACTCCTCCTTGGGCAGCTAACATAATATCTAAAGCATATCGATTTTGCAAAGTAACTGTACGAATTTCAGACATTTCTACATTAATCATCTTAATATTCTTTATAGTATCATTAAACATAGCAACAGTAAAATTATTTAAAATATGAATATCCCTATAGTTCATAGCAATTCCCAAAGGTGGGATAAGACCTCGAGAAATTTGTGTCCATAGATTACCTCCCATGGTTAGACCCGAATCCAATTCCCGACGATTTCGGATCCGAACCTCAGGAGGTAATGTATCTAACTTATAGATAACCGGAATGACAAACCCCAAAGTACATGTCCCTGACCAATTTGCAGGGATTTGTTGATATGCCCACAGTCCACATAAAAACCAAAACCCTTCCAGCTGTACATAACCTTGTTGACTTGCCGCTTGCATCAGCTGTTTCATGTCTAGATATTGATACTGGCCAAATGCATCAGACTCATTTTTCCCATTTACCCAAGTTATGTTGTTCTCTGAACCATTTGTCCACTTAATAGTGTAATTGCAGACACTATGATTCCCCAAGAATTGTGAGTTTGTAATGTTTTGGAAACATAAATGTGCTGGAGACTGCAGTGCAGTCTTCACCTTGACTGTGAAGTTCATGGCATATGAAATGTTATGCTTTCCAGTCTGCAAAGTAGACCGATTAAATGGAACTCCATGTAGAGTCAGTCCTTCTCCCACTCTCCCAGGAAGGTGCATACACAACCAACAATTGGTGATGTTCAAGTTTTTGGCAGTTGTGCGCAAATCTTTAATGTAATTATTATCGGTCCACAAATCATCACCCAAATCTCCGGCACGCTGAACATACTGTCGCTGCTCTCTCCGCTCCCGAGCAGCCCAGGACAGATTAGGCAGAATCAGCAGGATCAGGAACCACAGATGCACCATCCTGCTCCTCCGAAACTTCCTTCACAGGTGCCTGCGAATGATCAGGCCGAACACACCGACCAGGAACCCAACGAATTTGACCAAGATGTTCAACTGCTGCATAACCACGTCCCCACGTTATCAGCTCAGCAGGAACCCATGCTGGATCTGGAAGGAACCGCACCAACACCCGAGGTCTCACCGCATCTGTAGAAGGAGAAGAAAAATGCCTGCTGGCCGCGCTCGCAGGGGGGTTACCAGACAAATTTAAAAAATTTAAAGTATATAAAGCTAGATTTAATTGATCTTGAATCGCCGGAAGCCCCAGGAGCTTCCCTCCTTTTTTATTTAATTTAGTCAACATGGTCTTGAGCGTGGAATTATGACGTTCTACAATAGCCTGCCCAGTAGAATTGTATGGAATGCCAAATTTATGTTCCACAGACCATTGTTTGCAAAACTGATCAAAACCGGTGCTCCGATAAGCCGCACCATTATCAGTTTTTAAAGTTTTAGGTGTTCCAGCAATTGAAAAAGTCTTAATGCAATGATTGATGACATGTTTAACCATCTCACCTCTTTGAGGGGTAGCCATTAAAAATCCTGAGTAAGTATCCACAGTTACATGTATATATTTCCAGGGCGCAAATGGCGGATATTGAGTAACATCCATTTGCCAAATCATTGAAGGTTTCAACCCTCTGGGGTTAACTCCCATAGGGATATTCGTGCCCTGCTTTGAACAAGTTGGACATTGTTGAATTATGGCAGCAGCTTCTGCAGTGGTAAGTTTAAATTGCTGTGCCAATGCTTTAGCGTTTTGATGAAAATAACTATGACTATCCCATGGCTGGACAGTGAGGACTGAAGTTACAGCACTGTCAGCTTTGGCATTACCTTGTGATAAAATTCCAGGCAAATTACTATGACTACGAATATGAGCAACAAAACACACATTCACACGCTGCTCCAAACATCCTTGTAACAACAAAAGCAATCTTAAAATATCAGGTGATATTCCAGGAGACAAATAAGAACCTGCTACAAAGGGTAACAAATTATACACATACAATGAATCCACTATTAAATTAAAATCCTGATTGTGAAAATTTTGAAAAGCCAAAACTACAGCAGCAAGTTCTGCCTGCTGGGCAGACTTCTGCTCTGAAGTCACTTTTGTATGCCAAATTCCAGATTTATCTTTCCAAACACAAGCACCAAAAACTTTCCCTCCATCAGTAAAAACTGTAGGAGCATCTGATATGCCCAATGGTATCCTTTCTTACATTTTGGGCACACTGATTTAGGACGAACACCCTGTCCCATTGATCTCTTATTCTGCTGACTTTGACCTCCTCCAGGAGCCCGACATTGCGCTTTAAAATGTCCAGGCTTCCCACAATTGAAACAATTCCCCTTTTGAGCATGTCCTGTTTGTAAAGCCAGAGCTAAAGTTTCCATGTTAAAAGACTGACTCCCAACCTTCCTACATGCATTAATCAAATCTGCGATTTCTCGCTCCCCACTTGCTACCAGTGGATTTAAAATCTTTTTGCAATCTGTATTAGCTTGTTCTACTGCTAACTTAAAAAGCAACTCTTTCTGGGCGAATTGATTATCAATTTGTCTTTCAATAGCCAATTTCAGTCTGCTAATGAAATTTTCATAGGGTTCATTGTTCCCTTGTTTGATGTTAGTAAAGGTCTTCTCACCACCTTCGCCGTCAGGGAGAGACCCTATGGCTTGAAAAATTATTTGTGGGAGAAGAATGAACCCTTCCTCAGGCATACCATCTCTCTGTTGTTCCACTGTTGTAAAATTACCAGCTCCGTAAAGCTGATCTGGGGTAACATTTGCTGTTCCCCTCTGGACTGCCAGCTGTCTCCATTTCTGATCTAACACCAAATATTGAGCTGGAGTTAAAATCATATTCAACAGAGCTTTCCAGTCAGCCGGAATCATTTTATTTCCATAACCAACTGCTTCTAACAATGCCTGAGTATATGGCGTTCTAACACCATATTCTTTTGCTGCTTGCTTAACTTCCCTCAAAATTCTGAGCTGTAAAGGCTTCCACTCCCGCTGCGGATTTAATGCAGCATCCATGACAATTTCCACTGGATTAAGTTGAACTTCTACTCCAAACTCCACCAAATCATCTCCTGATAATTCCCCTCTATTCTTTGCTTCTTGAATAGCTGCAGTAACTGCATCCACCTGAACCCTTAAAGGTAAACTCTTATCCTCTGACAAAGTATTTCTAGCGCCGGACAGTCCCCCAGATTTATCTGGAGGTGCCGTCGGCGGCAACAAACGTACCGCATGGTAAAGCGGCAAACCTTCTTCGGGGGGTGATAGGAGCGGTTGTTCATAAGTAGCTAATGCATCCATTATCACTCTCCAGGTTAACAAAATTGAAGAAGGGGCACGAGGTTCCTCGTGCAAAAATTTCCCTATCTTTTTCCAGGACTCTACTTTAATACTACCTCCCTCCGGATATGACTTAATATTTTTCCAAACATACTGTAGTAAGTCCTCAATTTCTTTCTTTCCTACAGCACAACCCCTACTGCCAATTCCAAACCCAAAACTATTCCCAATGATCCCTCTCAATTCCCTGATGTGCTCTTTCTGAGCCTTCGAGAGATCTCCCCCCATACTCACGAAAAGAATCTATCTTCGTCCAGCGAAGAAGATGAGGGCCCAGTCGACGTCCGCGACGATGAGTATAGGATGCGGGAAACGTATAGCCTTCCAAGCTATCACGTCGGGGTCACCATTTATGGTGGTTTGACATTGAAATGAGACACAGGGAACTGTCTCTGAGAAAAATGCCAACCCTGAGAGAACTCAGGTAGCAGTATTTATTGAGAAAAAACACAAGCAAAAATACAGTATGCATATTCAGAAAACAATGACCTCAACAGGAGATTACTTCACCAGCATGAGAACACACAATCTTGGAAAGTCCCAGATGTTACCTTGCTAGGGTGAGATCATACAGCCACGGACAGTTTCATGGGAAAGTTTGGAAAGTCCCATGAGAAAGCACAACTGTGTATCTTGTACCTTGAACTTTCACCCATTTTCCTATTCCTTCTAAACTGGCAGAATCAAAACAGAATGAGGCACTCTGAGCAAAGATACTCCTACCCCCACCAAGAATGCCCACATCTTCCTAGACTTACTGCTAGTTATACAAAGGCCTTACAGAAAATGATAAAATGATCAATAGGTTATATTACCACAGGTGTGATACAATCATGAGCTGGTGCTTCTCACTTTCCAGCACTAGAAGTAAAAATACAGTTTAAAAAAAAATAACCCTTGGCCTTCCCCATTCAAGGTTTTTCATAGGTGAGAAACTTAATGGAAGAATGAATTTTTCTCCACCAAACTCTCATCACAGTTGCTGTCCGACACAAGCCACAATGATGCCACAATGTCACTTGGCCTAACTGTGTCCTGATCACACGACCATTTCTTCAGTGCCTCAAAGACCTAAGCCCACACCTTCCTTTCTCAACAGCGATCAGATTTTTTTCCCACCATTTTCAACATTTTACTGTCATGTAGGCCACAAGGCTTAGCCCTGCTTGGTTTGCAAGTCTGTTTGCACTTATACTTAGCTGTTTTTTTTTTTTCCACAGTATAAAAACTTTTTATTAGTTTTAGACTCAGTTTTATTGTCTTCTCAGAATTGTAATCTAACTGTTTTGCCTTCTTACCTTTGCCTAGTAAGCATCCCTCCCTGCCGCCCTGTCCCTACAGACATGGCCCTTGTAATGTATACCAGTGGCTCCACAGGGAGGCCAAAAGGGGTCATGATGGTCCATAAAAACTTGATAGCTGGAATGACTGGACAGTGTGAGCGAATACCTGGCCTGGGGTAAGCAGTTAAATATATGCATTTGTTTCTAATTCAGTTTTTTCCACAAAGAGGGCAGATGGGCTGAGAATAGAGAGGAACCAGCAGGTGTCTGTGGAGATTCTCAATCATCCAAGTCATTTGATGACTAATCATCCAAGTCATAGTTTTTTTTTTCCTTTGGAAACTTATTGCTTCTCATCGAAGAAGCTTTTAGAAGTTAGAACTAGAAGTTAAAACTGAAGAAGCTTCTGGATGAGAAGCAAAACATTTTCAAAGAAAAAAAAACCCCAAGGAATTTTGGTTGCCTTTTGGAAAAAGCACTTTGGGGATAGCAGGTGAGAGAGTCCAACAGATAGAAACCCAGGACCTTCCATTCCCTGGTGGATCTTCCCATATGTGTGCTGCCTTCTCCAGCTATGAGTGTTTGTATTCTGTAAACAGAATGAAAGATGCAGAGATTGAACTGGCCAAACTTTTATCATCCTTCCTTGATGCTTGGCAGTAACGGCAATTTATGTTAAGAGATTAAATTGGGTGGATATTGCCATGTTCCCAGGAACCTGTTGGACCCATAATAATGCCAGCAACCCTTCCCTTCCCATTGGTTTGGTGTGATCATGTCACAAACATTGGTGTCTCATGCAAGATCTTAAAGTATCAATTGTCAAAGCTTCTGTCATTTTTAATTTGGGGGAAATGGGCTTGGATTGTGGTTAGGACACAATAACAGCTGGTACTAGGAGGATTATATATTACTGGATTAAGGTTTTGTGATCATAATTGCAATAGCCTTAGCCTCGGTGGCGCAGTGGTTAGAGTGCAGTACTGCAAGCTACTTCTGCTGCAGCCAGCTGCCTGCAATTTGGCAGATCGAATCTCACCAGGCTCAAGGTTGGCTTCACCTTCCACCTTTCCAGGGTGGGTAAAATGAGGACTCAGAATTGCTGGGGGCAAGAGGCTGACTCTGTAAACCGCTTAGAGGAGGCTCTAAAGCACTATAAAGCGGTGTATAAGTCTAAGTGCTATTGCTACTGAGGGCTCTTTGAGCTTGCTTGTTTTCTTTCTGAAGATGTTTCATTACCCAAACTAGGTCACATTATCTGTGCTGAAGATGCTGCTTAGTTTGGGTAATGAAATGTCTTCAAGGAAACAACTGAACTCAGAGAGCACCAAGGAGCCCTCATTTCAACCCTGAGCTACAAATCTTCTTCTTTATTGGAGCCTTGGTGTTGACCTGTGTTACCATCTAGCTCTTCCTTCCCTGTATACACACCACTATTATATTCTGCCCAGCCCATGCAAAAACTTGATGGTGCTCATCAGTGCTGTGAAGAATGCTATTCAGCATGTTCAGAACCTAATCAATGACCTGTACCTTAAACATTGGTCTTTAAACTTAAACAGATTAGTCATCAAGATTAGAAATAAATATATTTATCTCAAAGAGATAATGTGGTTCCCTTGCTTTGGAGACATAGCTTATTCTCTTCTTAGTAATTGGCTTCCCAAGGAGAGTTTTTTCCACTACTTGAGCAATAAAAGCAATAAGGTTAATCTTTATATAGGGGTAAAGATAAGTCTTCCTGTGTTTTTGCTGCTGCAAGTGAAGCAGAAATACGCAGTTACACTGCTCAAGGAGTGGGACAAACTCTTCAAAGCTGTACTCTGCTTTTATTGTTTGATTCAAGCAAGCCCACTATGGTCTTTCAAGCTTTACTAGGCCCATTAACTATCCAAAAGTCAAGCAGAGAAAGCGGTGATGCTCTTGACTGCTAGAACTTGGAGGTTGGAGCGAATTAGTACGTCTGTCTTTGTACACAACTTATTTCTGGATTGTCTAGTAACTTCAACTCTTTGAGCATTGTACAGAATTGTTTAAAATATAATCTATAGAAGCTTCAAAGCTCAATACAAAATAAAATGAACATTAGGGATGATAATCATAATATAGGTAGTTGTCAACTACCTATATATGACCACGATTGAGCCTAAACTTTCTATCAGAAGATCACAGAAGGTGATCACATGACCCCAGGACTCTGCAATTGTGACTTAGTTGCCAAATATCTGAATTTTGATCATGTGACCATGGGGATGGTGGAATGGGTGTGTGAAACACAGTCCTAAGTCACTTTTTTCAGTGCCGTTGTAACTTTGAATGGTCACTGAACAAATGGTTGTAAGACAAGGACTGCCTGAATAGTAAAGTATAGCAGTAGAATAGTGTGGGATTTTAACATATCATAATATCAAAGGATTTCAAGTATCTGGGAGACAGAAAGACTGCAGGATAATTACTAAGCATACTTCTCCCAAGAGGCCATGGCTCCAGGCCTGACCTATTTTGGCTTGAATTACCTAAATTGTGTGTAGAGGATAACATTTCTGTTGCCCTAGTCCAGAGGTCCCCAAACTTAGCAACTTTAAGACTTGTGGACTTTAACTCCCAGAATTCTCCAGCCAGCAAAGCTAGAGAATTCTGGGAGTTGAAGTCCACACAAGTCTTAAAGTTGCCAAGTTTGGAGACTTCTGCCCTAGTAACTAGAAATGACAGGCATAAGGTCTATTAAAGCAGGCTTCTCCAGTCTGAGGGTTCTCTGGCTAGATGAACATCAACTCCCAGAATTCTCTATGCAGCACGAGCAAGTTGAGATCCTTACCTCTGGAGGCCAACCAATTTAGCTGAAGTTGCATTTTAACTCAGTCAATCCAAGTTGATGTTTTATCAACCTGAATATACATTAGACCAGGGTTTCCAACCTTGGCAATTTTAAGACTTGTGGACTTCAACACCCAAAATTCCTCAACCTCAGAGGAATTCTGAAAGTTGGAGTCCACAAATCATAAAGTTGCTAAGGTTGGAGAACCCCCTGTATTAGATTATAAGGATTTGGTGGACAAAAACTCCAAACCATGTTCTGTGTTTATTTAGACCAAGATAACTTGACTGCCATATTGAAATAATTTACTGTACATTTTTTTCCCCTTAGACCCAACGACACATATATTGGCTACTTGCCTTTGGCTCATGTATTAGAACTAACAGCAGAAATTTCCTGTATTACTTATGGCTGCAGGATTGGATATTCCTCACCACTCACCCTGTCAGACCAGGTAAGCCAATGGATGGAAACTGCTTTGTAAATTGTTTAGGAGGAAAAGTGTTCAATTAATGTCAAACATTGGATAGAAATTCATTTGTTTATTTGCTGATCAAATTTTTATGCCACCCACCTCCCCTACAAGATGCCTCTGGGCAGCTTAAAAGTTGTAAAATAAGTAAAAGGTTATTAAAATATTAAACTGCACAGATTAATATATTATTGTATAACTTTAGAGCGAGAAGTAGTCTTAAGCTTGCCACTACAATAATCTGAACCAAAGTGACGTGCACAGATAAGGGCATCGTAAAACTGTTATTCCTGGAACATTTCTAATTTTCTTGGTTGCAAGTTTTCCGTTTTCTCAGCAGCTTTAGAATCTGATCAGCTCTTTGATCCTCAAGTAGTGAAATACGATGAAATGCTCTACCTTTCATTCCTTCGGCTTATTTTTTCAATTCACAAAATTTAATAGCCCTAAACACCTTTCCATAGTTTAATTCTTCTGTGAAAGTAATTGAAATTAAAACTGGGCTCTCATTCCCCCCTTCATTCTTTCAGTCCAGCAAAATTAAAAAGGGAAGCAAAGGAGACTGCACTGTTCTGAAGCCCACTTTGATGGCAGCTGTGCCAGTAAGTATCAGTAAGGATGAGATACTTGTGAAACTTCGTGTATTCCATGCTGAAACTTTATTAGAAATGGCTTAAATGTTAAATTTTAAACTTTAAAAAGTACAGTGACTTATTTTTCCCAATAGGTTCATATACATCACCCATCTTAGACCCACAAGTTAAAAAAAAACCCCTATATCCTGGGTCTTTTAATACCTAATTTCAAATTTTTATTAGTTTCTTAAAATATAATATAGCATATATTATTATATAAAAGTAAAAAAGTAGAGTGTTTATGCTGCTACCTTATTCTCCTGTACCCAAAGGAGTCGGAAGTCAACCCTTTTTCCTTCCCTTTTCCCTCCCTTGCCATTAGTTTCTTTTGTATTTTATATATTTTGAGAAACTAATAAAATTTTGAAATTAGGGCTCTTATAAAACCAATTGCAGGTGTGCATATATCTACAGCTTTGCTTGCTTGAAACAGCTGTCATTGCTCATGTTTCATAATACACATTTTGAAAATCTGTCTTCCTTTCTGTCTACCTTCCCTTGTCAAACCCTGTTAAGCACATCCAAAATAAAATGCAACTGGCTGCAAAAATTGTAATTTATTTTGTGTTTGTGTGTGTGTGTGTGTGTGTCAGAGAGAGAGAGAGAGCGATCTACGCTCAATATTTCCATTGCTTTCCGCTGAATGCCTACGCAAATAACCCCCAGCTAAAATTGACCACCAATAGATTAGCCGGATTACATATTAAGGGATATACAACTAAGGAAATAGTTAGCTGTTTAAAATAAATGAATTGCTCCTTCCTGTTATCCTTATTCACAGGTCTGGGCTGGTATAAACCAGTTCAGGAATAAAATGTTTCTTAGCTGTTTCCTTTAAACTGTTTGTAGGAAATCATGGATCGAATTTATAAGAACGTTATGAGTAAAGTTCAGGAGATGAACTATTTCCAGAAAACTTTGTTCAAGATAGGATATGACTATAAATTGGAACAAATAAAAAGAGGCTATGATGCACCTCTCTGTAACTTGTAAGTAGAGTTAATGTATTTTAATATTTGTTGCAGATATAATTGGGGATTACATTTGAGTAAAAAAACCACCGGTTCAACCAGATTGGACAGGCTCTTTGTCTAAATCTCAACCTTCCCTTCAGGTGTACATTCATTCATCATGGAAATCAGTGGTTCTTAAGTGTAGGTTATTGCACCTTTTAAAATTGTTGCAGCGAGACCATTTATCTTCGGGGGCTTTCTAAGGTAACCTTTGCCAGAATGTTAATATATTGAGTACCAATTCCCAGAATTCATAGCCATTCACATGGGGATTCTGAAAGTTGCAGTCCAGATTATTTGGAGGGCCCTGGGTTTATCTTTGAGTCTTGCCATACAGCTAATCCTTGGGTGCATGTAGAATATTTTGTCCTATAAAAATTTCCTGAACTTCCAGGGAACCTCCGGTGAATATGTTGAAATCTCCCTGACTTGTACATAATTGGATTTGAACCAGACTTCTCTGATGTGAAAGATAGCCCTATCTGTCATTTTTGGGGCCAATGATTTCAATGAGTCTGTAGCAACTTCAACTGAACCTAGAACCCGCACACTGAAAACCAGGTTCTTGTTCACTTCTGAACAGAGCAGAAAGCCGATCAGATCTGTAACATTGGGCTGAATCCACAGCAGATGGATTAATGGGTGTATCTGAGAGGGGGCCAAGGAGAGTCATGTATCTGCTGTTTATAAATCCTCTTAGTGTGTCCTTTCATTATGTCATTGTGGGATTCTTTTCCTTTAAGACTGCTGTTTAAAAAGGTGAAGGCCCTGTTGGGAGGGAACGTACGTATGATGCTTTCCGGAGGGGCTCCCCTCTCCTCTCAAACCCAGAGATTCATGAACATCTGCTTCTGCTGCCCTGTTGGCCAAGGCTACGGCCTGACGGAAACCTGTGGAGCGGGCACCATTACTGAAGGTAAGGATCTGTGGTTAGCTTCTGTCATGGTGAAGGTGTTTCGTGTGGAGCCCTTGAGAAACAGCCTGCAGGGCTGTTTTTAGTCTAGTCTGCAATTACATTAAAAGAACTTGAAAGCATTTGTATAGAAGAGTAGGCAAAGCTGGAAGATGGAGTTAAGCATGTCATCAGCTTAAAGTAGTTGCATTGCCAAAAACAGTCCAAGTTCAAGCTCTGTTGACCCTTATCTGGCACCAATTCAGATTTGAACTTTAGTTGACTAGATTCCTGTGTATAGGCTAGAGCAGGGGTGGAATTCTGGGAGTTGAAGTCCACAAGTCTTAAACTTGCCAAGGTTGGACACCCCTGGGCTAGAGGGATAAATTTTCTGAGCTGCAACTTAATGTATGGTCCTGTTCTTTTGTGCCTGACACAAATATAGCCGCAAAAGATCAGGACCATACATTAAGTTGCAGTTCAAGATGTATTGCTCAAGCCTATACACGACAATCTAAATTTTAATACTAAATTGGTGCCAAATAAGGATCAGCAGAGTTGAAGAGGAATTGGACCATTTGTGGCCACATAATAACTCTAAGCTGATGACATGCTTAATTCCACCCTCGGCTCTCCCTGCTCTTCTCTTAGTTTGATTCTTATCTCATTCCTCGTTTCCTGATGTTTTTCTACCTAGTAACTGACTACAGTACTGGAAGAGTTGGAGCTCCTCTTATCTGCTGTGAGATTAAGCTCAGAGACTGGCAAGAAGGTGAGAAAATCCCATTATTCTAATATACTTTAATCTGTTTCCATGCTGAAATAGGAGGTGTGTCTTATGCCCTTGACAAACTAGATAAATAGGTGCTTGTTGGAAAGTTATTCCATCTCTAAGTTTTTCGCAAGAAGACTTAAATCCCATCTCAAGCCATTTCTCTTTTTGGGGGGCAGGAAAATACAGCACCACCTGGGAAGCTTGATTATTTTTTGTCCCGGATATCCTAGTTCTGAAACTGTTTTCCCCTCGTGGTGCACTTGTGGGACGAATCCTATCCCATAGCAAACCATTAACTTTTTAAATCTGTTGCCTTAAGAGGCTAATGGCTATAGATACATTTAACTTGTATTGGTTAAACCAGTCCATTTCAATATGGGCAACTTGAAGATGTGTGGACTTCAACTCCCAGAATTCCCTAGCCAGCATGGGAAGTCTGGGAGTTGAAGTTCACACATCTTAAAGTTATCAGTGTTGAAAAACGCTTGTTAATCTGATCTGTTAGGGGAATCCATTTCCTAATAAATTGCATAAATTTGCTGAGGGAAGCAGCGATCCTGTATTTCCTTGAATCTGGGGAAAAAACCCACTAAATATAGTGGGATTACCTCTGAATAAGTTGTTTGTGTCCCATACGTACCTATATAAATATTCTAGATTAGAGATGTCCAACCTTTGGAATTTTAAGGTTTGTGGATTTCAACTCCTACGCTGGCTACAGAATTCTGGGAGTTGAAGTCCACAAATCTCAAGATTGCCAAGGCTGGACACCCCCATGTTAGATTCAAAAGTTTTTTGTTCCCCAGAGTTTGTGATCCTAGTTGGACTTAACACATCATTACATTTTACTACCCATGTTAATTTAGTGGCTTAACATAATTAATCAACAAGAGCCGCTGTGACGCAGTAGTTAGAGTGCAGTACTGCAGGCTACTTCTGCTGACTGCCAGTTGCCTGCAATTTGGCAGTTCGAATCTCACCAGGCTCAAGGTTGACTCAGCCTTCCATCCTTTCAGGGTGGGTAAAATAAGGACCCAGATTGTTGGGTGCAAGAGGCTGGCTCTGTAAACCGCTTAGAGAGGGCTCTAAAGCACTATATAACAGTATATTAGTCTAAGTGCTGTTGCTATCCTGCCATTCTTTCTTGATGATCATTTTGATTTGATTTAAAGGAATTGCTGTAGCCACCAATTAATTTATTCTTTCTGGTTTTTTTTTAGGAGGCTACACAACAAGAGACTTGCCACACCCTAGGGGAGAGATTATAATTGGAGGGCCCAATGTCTCTATGGGATACTTCAGAAATGATGAGAAAACAGCTGAAGATTTCATTGTCGATGTCAAAGGCCAGCGATGGTTCTGTACTGGAGATATTGGTGAATTTCATTCTGACGGGTGCCTCCAAATCATAGGTAGGCACAATATTTTGGTTTACTCACAAACCTGTCCCTGTTTTTATATGAGTAAGCTCTTCCAAGCACAACGATGAGTTATACACTTAACAGCCATATAAAACAGTTGCCTTTTTTTTTTATAACAGTCTTCACTTTTTGTTAACTACATTTTAAAAATGTCCTAGCAGTTGCAAAGGTAGAAGATGTTATCTCAGCAGTTGGTTTTGCACGAGAACTGGCATCGTTGTGTTTAAAATAGAATGTCTGGAGAATGCCGACTTTACCCTTCCGTCTCTGGCTCCACTGAGGGTTCCTTCTGAGGAAAGGTGTGTTCACTCAGAGGAGGATGGTCTCTCAAACCCCAAATTGTGTGTGATTGTTTCCCCAGATCGTAAAAAAGACTTGGTGAAGTTGCAAGCTGGAGAATACGTGTCTCTTGGCAAAGTTGAGGCAGCCTTGAAAAACTGTCCCCTGATTGACAATATTTGTGCATATGCGAAAAGGTGAGTTTACATATATGTGATCTTTCATACAATTTCATGGGATTTTTTTTTTTTTAAACACCAACTTATATCGAACAGGTTGGAAAGTAAGAATCTTGTGCTCCGCTTTCCAAAATCATTGCTCCAGTAGGATTCAAATTGCTGGAACTAGCTAGGCCCATTCCAGCAGGTGTAACACACGTAACTCAAGTGTTTCCCAGCCTCAGCAGCTGAGGAATTCTGGGAGTTGAAGTTCATGTACCTTAACGTTGCATATGTTGGGAAGCATTAGGTGCTAGAAGGTCCCCAAGTTGACCAGCCTTCAGATGGTGCTGACCTAAATTCTGTACCTCAGTAAACCAGCCATAGTAAAGGATCCTTGGCATTTCATTCAGAAACCCTTTGAGGGTCACAGGTACATGGCCACGTTTCTGAAATCATTCTGGATCTAAATATTCATACACTATATAAGTACAAAAGTATTCTTTTGGTTTCTTCTCACCTTTTAGCCGTTATCTATATACACATACACACACGATTGACAAGTAACCATAGAGATGTGCTGGCTATCAACTTGGTTGGTTTTATGGAAATCCCAGGGATCCGCTTCTGAAACCCACCTGCTGGGAGACGGATGGGCGTCCTTGGGCATGTTGGTTGCCCACTGTGAGAACAAACTGCCGGAATAGATGGGCCAGAGGTCTGACCCAGAAAGGCATTCTTAGGTTCTAATGATCTAAATATACATGGTTGGAGCAACCTTTCTCATTTCTGTTTTTAATTCTGAAGGAAATAAGTTGAAATAATGTTCAGATCTCTGGGAACATCTGCGTAAAAGTTACATCTACAGCTAGCATGTGAAGTTCAACAAGTATTTTACCCCCAAGCACAATTTCTCACAGAACCTCAGTCGAAAAAGGCTGGGCTAGTGTAATTTTCAGGGTTAAAACATTTTGCTTAGTCAAGTGTCATAAAAACTAAACAATGTTTTCTTGTGTTTCAATCTAGCAACCAGTCTTACGTTATCAGTTTTGTGGTTCCCAATCAGAAGAAACTCATGGCACTTGCTGAGCAGAGGGGCATGTCTGACAACTGGATCAACATCTGTAACAATCCTGTCATGGAATCGGAAGTTTTGAAAGAGATTAAGGACATGGCTAACAAAAGTAAGCAAATGTAGCGTGGTTACAACTCATGATCTTATCTGCAGCAGATGCCCTGCTTGAGTATCATTCAGTATTTTAAGAGCTTTTGCAAGCCACTTCCCCGTTACTCCTCTCCTCAAGTATTAAAGAAATATTTGCCATGTACTGAGGGTTTAAGGGCAGGCAACAAGTACCTGGAGTAGACTTAGAGACGTATTTCAGATAGAAAATGATCTTAAAGGCCTTGTGAAGACACATTTATTATTATCCTGCCATCTGCCGGCCATGGGGAAGAATGCTCTTGAGAAAAGACTGAAAGCACAGTGTATCTTATTAACAAACAGATAGTCCTCTGTTTACAACTGTTCATTTAGTGACTGTTCAAAGTTACAACAGCAGTGGCGGCATTGAAAAAAGTGACTTACAACAGTTTTTCACACTTATGACTGTTCTAGCATCCCTGAGGTCATGTGATCAAAATTTGGACACCTGGCAACTGGTTCATACTTATGGCAGTTGCCGTGTCCTGGGGTCACATGATCCCCTTTTGCAATCTTTTGACAAGCAAAGTCAATGGGGAAGCCAGATTCATTAGCAACGTTGCCACTAACTTAACAATTGCAGTGATTCACTTAATAGCTGGGGGGGAGGTCATAAAATGGGCCAAAATTCACATAACAAATGTCTCACTTAACAACAAAAATGTTGGGCTCTATTGTGGTCCTTGACTACCTGTATTTAGGTTTGAAGTGTGAGGGGTCCTCGGTGCTGCCTGAGCTTGGCTGTTTTCCTGAAGACCTTTCATTACCCAACTATGGAACATAATCAGTGCTCGCTTGATTTGAAGTGTGCATGTTGTTTTGGTGCGGCATCTCCGTCAAGCATAAAAATAGCCTTATATCTTTATTTGAAATGGAAGTCCAGTATGCCTTAGTAGTGGAAGAAGCGTCCCTAGAAATACAGGTAGTCGTCAACTTACAACTACAGTAGGGATCCAGAAAAAATGTCATTGAGTGGTGCAGTTGTTAAGGGAGGTATCCCATGACCACGTCCAATTTTAGGACCTCTGTGAACATGAAGCGAGGCATCACACAACTGTGAGCTGTGACCTTCCCTGCCTTGGCTTTGCTTGTCTGAAGCCGGCGGGGAAGGTTGCAGAGGGCGACCCCCTGGCCTTGGGACACTGCAGCCATCGTAAGGGCACGGTGGTTGCCAAGCGCCTGAAGGACAATCATGTGACCACACGGATGTTTCCGGTGGTTGTTAAGGGCGAGGACCAAGTCGTAAGTCACCACCGTAACTTCGACCAGTCACTAAACGGATGGTTGTTAAGTTGGAGAATTGCCTGTAACAGAAAAGTGAGGCTGTAGAATTTAGGTCACTGGGGCGTCTTATCCCGTTCATTTGACAATGAAAAGTAATCAAGGTATCCAAATTCTGGTGTTCTGGATTTGAGTGCTTGATAAGTTAGGCTTTCCAAGGAAAATCTGGATGGTCTCTAGACAGTAGGAGTCCTCCAGAACTGCTCTTGTCTAGTTAGTCCTGTCTAAAGACCATAGAGCTGAATGGGACCTTGGAGGTGTTCTAGTCCAACCCTTTGCTCAAGCAGGAAACCTTATCATTTCAGATCAATGGTGGTCAAATCTCTTCTTTAAAACCTCTAGCACACAACTTCTGGAGGCCACTTCCGTTCCACTGATTAATTGTTCTCACTGTCCAGGAAATTTCTTTTTAATTCTAAGTTGCTTTTTTCCTTGATTAGTTTCCCCCCATTGCTTCTTGTCCTGCCCTCAGGGGCTTTGGAGAATAGCTTGACTCCCTCGACTTTGTGGCTAAAAGAAGGTTTTGAACAGGAAAAAAAAAAACCAAGCCTGCTACATTGACGTATAAATGAATAACATTTGTAGGTTGTGTCCATCTGCCTGGCTCCTCTCTCTTCAAATCCTGATTGCTGTTTTCTTCCTTCTTCCCCCCCCCCCCCCGTTGCTCTTCTCCAGTGAAGTTGGAAAGATTTGAAGTGCCCATCAAAGTCCGCCTGAGTCCCGAGCCCTGGACTCCCGAAACAGGCTTAGTCACTGATGCTTTCAAACTGAAAAGAAAGGAGCTGAAGAACCATTACCTCAACGACATCGAGCGGATGTACGGAGGGAAATAAGGCCTCCCAATCGCCCTGCGTCAGAAACCGTGCGTTGTTTCTTCTGGAACTGAATGACGAACGAATTTCCCAAAGAGCGGCTGCATTTCCAAACAGAAGCAGTGTTTCATAAAACAGTTGAAAATTTACTCTCAGTTACCCAGAAGGAACGGCTGTGCTGGCTTTCTGCCCTGCAGTTTCCCAAGATGCTGTCAAAAATACTGACCCACTGCCATGGTTTCATTAGACCACTTCCAGTTCCAAATGGCTGTGTTCGTATGGAACTCCCTCACCGGATAAACCAGTATTTCTACAGTCTTTCTATTCTGGCTTCTTCTCTGATTTGAAAGCAGTCAGATCATCTTGGCTTGAGTCCAAGGCGATGTTTTCGAAATGGATGAAAACAAGCCAGTTGCAAAGGCGATACGGAAGAAGGGTTGTAAGAGTGGGGCAGAACCAAGCCCCCTCCAAAACTCTGCTCCGGAAATGGTTCTCTCAGGTCCTTTGCTAAATGGTTCATTGGAAGGTGACTGTCGTTGGTGGTCCAAAGAGAGGAAGAGGGATTTCTCTTGTGAAAATGGTACTTTCACCCCGCCGTAAACTGAGAGTCCAAAGCAACAACGCCTGATTGGGTTCCTGCACCATGTCCCAAGTTATTCCTTCCTTTCGGTAGCACCATCTCTGCCATGAAATTATTCTTGCAATTTCTGATTTTTTAAAAATTATTCATTCCACAAAAAAGGCACCGTAGGCAGTTGGCAGCAGTTTCCACGGCTCAAGAGAATACTGGCGGTACTTTTAAAAGTCACGTTTGCTCCTGCGTTGGTGGGTGGGTGGGAATCTTTCACTGCCATTAGTGAGCACAGACAGATTCTCTCATATTTATTTTTCTTTCTTTCAAATGGTGGTTTTCTATACAGAAAGAGATAACTGGTAGTATTAAACATTTAGAGTGCCTAAAACAAAGAAACGATCCTCACAGACGAGCAGAGGTAAATTAAGACATTCCAATCAAAACATTTCAAGATGTCTTTTGGAAGAAGACAAGTGATGACTTTGGCCGTGTCTTGCATCACTTTGGCTGTCCTAAGAATGCTGGCATTACTGCCCCGATTAAGCTGGTATCTTTTCTGATCATTTATTTATTCGCACTCACCACCTTTAAAAAAATATATCAGTGGAACAAAACAAGTCCTGTAGCTAAAGTAGTCCGCACACCATCTGCTTTTGCGGAGTGTCATGCTTTTTGGGATGTACACGCCGCTTCCTCCAAGCAACATCCCCACCACAGATAAAATATTCGGTTATTGTTGTTGTTTGTTTGTTTTTTTATTTTAAAAGGGCATTTTAATTTATCTTTGACTATATCGCATAAAACAAAATCTTATATTAAAACGAATTTCTCTTCTATACAAGTGATGGATGTAGCCTTGGCAACTTTGTGTTTTAAAATGTTTGCAAAGGGAAATTTTTGTCTGCTATTTTTATTGAAAAACTGGAAATCCTTGATGTACGGAGGGCGGGAGAGAGCAGCAGCCTCCTCTGCGTTTCTGTGTGCATTATTCCACAGAATGTCTTTTGTGCACTGGGCACTATTCATACTAGTAGTTCACACTTGAAACAAAAACTGAGACGAACGTGGCAACGATGGGATGCTGTTCTTACTGTGCACTTTCGATCCTTTTCTGTATGTGGCTTCCATTTTTGTACAAATGTGGCTCTTGGGTGCATTGTATTACCTTTTGGTGGCTCTAAAGTATTTATAAAATAGACTCTCTTTTATTCATTATACTTTAATGTGTATATTGTGGTTAAAAAAAAGAAAAATAATTGGATATTATTTGGTGAATGAGGAAATTTTGTATGAGATGTTGTTCAATACACAGTGGTTTTAAACTCAAGTGGAGGAAGTTTTTCCTTTTGCAAGGTAGATGTGTGGGTGAGCCAGCTTCTAGAGTAACAACAGATCATTAATCCTTGTTAATCTTACTGCCTGATCAGAATTGGCTGTGCAAGAGGACCCATTTTTAATGCACGAGGAATATTTTTGAGATAGTTTTTGGGCAAGCTTATCCTCTCCTATTGACTGAAAATAGAAACATTCAAAACAGGTCAAACCAAAAGAAAATATGGTCCCAGGAAAATGCCTCTTAAGAGCTCAACCAAACACAAACCCTTATTTACAGAAACAACAAATGCCCCCCCTTACCATTTAGTGGATTTTCCCCAAAACAAGCTCATTCGGCATGGGATAAAACTCTTGAGTTAGAAAGATATTTTGATTTAAAACACAATGAAAGGTTAAACAGGAAATGGATTGTATATGTAGATGAAACAGGAAATGGAATGTATATGCAGAAGAAATGCCTGAGGCGTGGTTTCAGCAACTCACACTTACTTTGTATATGCATTAATGGTACTGCTGGCCTGTGCAATCTTTCTCTTCCAGTTTCTCAATTAGCATCATTTTCAGTAGGGGTGGAAGTGCTCTTGGAATAAACTTCCCAAGATGGCGGATAGCCTACTCAGTAGAAAAAGTCAACAAAACATTTTTTTTCTTCCTCTTCATTCACATGATTGTTAAGGCTGTAATTTACCAGGATTTTTCCAAGTTTTAAATGTGTATAGTTAATTAGGGAGAGTACACTACATTGCCGTCCGATTAATAAGTAGGCTATACAACCATACTTTTTACTGTGAACAAGTTTTTCTAGAACTGGGAACACATCTCTGCACACCAGAGATCTGCACAAGTTTTTCTAGAACTGGGAACACATTTCTGCCTTTCACTCTCATATCAGAACACTCTCTTATCAGGAGATGCTAAGAAACAACTAGAACAAGGAAGTCATCCCATTTTAGAGAAGCTAGGATGGATTTCAACTTTGAGGCTAACCTAGCACTCCCTCATTTTCAGCTAGAACAAGTCAATAAAGCACCATACCTTGAGGAAATGGGCTGTGCATCTCCTCTCGTAAACCAGTTTCTCAGGTAAGCAGGAATAAGGCTCTAACTATAATATGTACAAGTTTGTAATTATAAGATAAGGGGCACAGCAATAAACTTATTTGCACAGATTCACTAAGCCCGGCAGAAGTGGCTTCACTGGCCATACTTTTTTTTTATGCCACCTTTATCCCAAACACCAGTTTTATAAGAGCCATGGTAGTGTAGTGGTTAGAATGCAGTATTGCAGGCTAACTGCCCACTGCCAGCAGTTTGATCCTGACTGGCTCAAGGTTGACTTGGCCTTCCATTCTTCCAAGGTTAGTAAAATGAGGAGTCAGATGTTTGGGGTCAAAATGCTAACTCTGTAAACCAATTAGGGCTGTAAAGCACTATGAAGCGGGATATAAGTGCTATTTTCATCATGTACAAAGTTTTAAAACATACAGTTGGGCCAGAATCAGACCTGGTATTCTTTGCAGCTTGACTAAAAAGGTAGAATGGATCTGGGATCGTCTTAAAGCAGCCTGAAAATTGCTTTCTGGAGACATCTAACAGACAGATCCTACCTTGTAAGTCACAAATAAGAGAAACAACCCCAAGGGCTTTTAAAGCTCTGTGTAATTGTTCTGTGGAAAGGGGCAAAATTCTTGAGTTTTCAGCAGTACAATTTTGGAATAAAAATAAAGATGGAAATGAGTGCATTTACTGCTTGTGAGGCCTCACTCCTCCCAAAGAACTTTGCCTGAAGCATCCATAAAGTAAGATTTCCTGCTTGCTTTCAACTTTTGTCAACATGTCCTTGGCTCACATCTCTTACCTTTGCTGAAACAACGCGGCTGAATGTCAGTCTCCTCTCTAAAATGTATAGCTAATAACGCAGTCCTATCTGCATCTAAGTCATCCAGTGTTGAAAAATGCCTAGAAGCCTGATGAGCCTTTCTGAGATTGTGGCATCAAACCATCATCCATCTCCATCATCCCGTGTGGAGCTGCTTTAGGCTCAGTTACTGTTTTGGAAGCTGGACAAAATAAAAACCCACAATTGTGTATCTAGATTTAGCTCGAGAAATATGTCATTCCTTACAAGAAACAGATTCTAGCATGTTTGCAGTCTGAGCCTTTTTTGGTCATTCTGGGTTAGTTGTTTTGAATGGAACAACTTTGAATTGGTTGATGAAGAGCAGATCAAACTGGCCTGTTTTTCTTTGATCATGTGCTCTAAAAATTCCACATCTCTTTTACCACAAACACCCAGAAAAAAAAACAGGTTTCCCAAAGGAAAATATGGGGATATTACCCATTTACATCAGTAAAATCGAAGCCACTACTTTTTGTTGAAGAGTAAAGACTTCCAAATGTTTGGTGGCTCTTCCTGCATTGTTTCTCAACTCCAGGCAGCCACCTCCAATTTTTATTGCTGTCTAGTTATGTCAGACCTACATCTCAATATACCTGGGCCAGAGCTGGTCTGTAGATCCGCAACTAGCCATGACTAGAAATGCAGTACATGAAAGTGCCCCGGCATAAGTTTGGTGGCTGTCAACAAAATAGGGATAAATGTGAAGCACAATCTGTACTACATTCAGTAGCATTTACTCTGAAGTTACTATTTTAAAACAAATGCCGAAGCGAACACACTGCAAATTTGGGCTGCATAAAACCCATAACCCACTAAGTTAAAATTCATAATAAATCTAAAAAGACTGGAGCAATCAGATTTATCAGAATATTTTTTTTCTTCAGCTGTTAGAAGAGATTCAGTCTGTTGCAGTCACTGGAAGATCATACCAAATGAATTAACCCAGAACAGTCATCCTTGAAAGAGATGTTCAGCATTTGAGAATTATATAAAACTACCTGAATTTATGGACAGAATGATAAAAAGCAGAACCAGAGATGCCAGCAATTAAATATATACTTACTCTGTGCTTCCCCAAAAAAGGACAATTGTGAAAACAATATTTTGTTTTCGCAATTCAGAACTGTAGAACTCAAGATCTGTAACTGCTAGGAAGTGGAGGTTTTTTTTATAGTTGATAAGGTGAATCAACTGTCAAAAGAGAAAGATAGAATAGATAGAATAAATAGAACGATAGAATAGATAGAGAAAGGTAGAATAGATATAGATAGATAGATAGATAGATAGATAGATAGATAGATAGATAGATGATAGATAGATAGATAGATAGATAGATAGATAGATAGATAGATAGATAGATAGATAGATAGATCTATCGGATCGATCGATCCAGGGGTCTTCAAACTTGGCAAGTTTAAGACTGATGGACTTCAACTCCCAGAATTCCTGAGCTAACAGGACTGGAGGAGGAATTCTGAAAGTTGAAGTCCACAAGTCTTAAAGCGGTCAAGTTGGAAGACCCCTGCCTTAAACTGTCTTACCATGGACCTCCCTCCATTCCTAAGAGGTCTGTAAGGGGGCGTGCAGAAGCGCACCAGCGTGCCTACCCTCCCTCTCCTCCTCTTCCCATCGATCCATTCATTTATCCAAAGGCTGCCTGTCCCTTTCCTGAAAAGACTCCACAAAGAGGCTCAGGCCACACGTGGAAGCCCCCCAACCCCCCCGCCCCGGACGAGGCCCGCAGCTGCTCCCAAACCAGGAGGAACCACAACTGCTTGCCTTCCAATTTCTGGAGGGGGGCGCGGGGGGGGGGGCTCCCCGGCAGAATCCCTCCCAAACCAGCTCAGGTTTCAGGATTGTCCGTTAAGGAACAAAGGCGCCTCGGGAGGCGGAGAAACTCCGGCTCGCCCCCAACCCCCCTCCAGACCCGGGGAGCTTCGGGAGGGGGCGCGGCCCCGGCCCCTTGCGAGCCCGGCAAGGGCAGCATCTGTGCCGCCTTTGTCTGTGGCCCGACGCCCGGCAGGTCCCAGACGGAGGAAAAGCCCCGGACTCTGCTTGGAGCCATGCAAGAGCCGGAGGCGAACTGCAGCGAGAGCCGGCGGCTGCAGCGCCTCCTGGGTCGCCTGTGGCAGGAGCTGCGCGGAGGCGGCGGGGATCCCGGCCCCAGCGCTTCTTCCAGCCCCGCCGCGCGGCCGCCGGGCGAGAACGACGCCTACCTGTACATCCTGCTGATCATGATCTTCTACGGTTGTCTGGCCGGCGGGCTGATCCTGGCTTACACGCGCTCGCGCAAGCTGGAGTCCAAGGACGACCCCTACCACCTCTACATCGAGAGCGACTGGGCGGCGGGCGGGGGCGGCCCGGCGGGAAAGGGGGTCCCCGCCAGCCCGGCCGAGCGCAGCAGCAGCAGCGGAGAAAGCGAACCTCTGTGAGAGGGGGAGGCAGCGGCCCTGAGCCCTTCCCAACCCCGGCTAGTGGGGGGGGGGGGGGGGCGCGAAGCGAGCCTTCCTCCGGACTCCGCGGGTAAGACCTCCACTCCTGGTTGGGGGGCTTCAGGGCTCCGCAGGACTCCTCCTCGGCGTGGGGAAGGCGGCCCGCTGGCTTTCAAGCCTCCCCCCCCAGGAATTGCGACGGCCCGAAGCGGAGAAGCAGCGTTAGAGAGCCTGTGGGTGAAGAAGGCGAACAGGTCGGGTTGACTCTCGCTCATTCACACGCTCCCTCCAAATCCTTGGAAAGAGGAGGAAACCCCCCACAGATTTGGACTGCTTCCAACCCACCCTGGTTGCTTCCTCTGGCTCGGCTCTGCAAAACAGGTGAGTTCTCCAGCCAGCTCCCTGCTCACCCGTCTGGTCCGAATTTGTAAGGCGGCTTGGCTGCCAAATGTATTACTCTACAATGGATTTTTTTTTCTTTTTTTTTTTTGCTAAGGAGAAAACACAAGCGTGGAAGTCGGTGACTGATGCAGTGGCTGGCTCTTCTTCATCCCTCCTGGAAGCTGCCAGGGCTGGATTTTGTCCGTGGAAAGAGGCCCCGGCTGCATCCAGAGATTGGGTGAAAATGTAGAGGCTTGATGTCACCTTGCAAGAGAGCCAGAGCATCACATTTCCAAAGGGAGCCATTATTTTTTTTCCGCGTTCGCAATCACAAATCAACAGTCAGCGTCTCTGTCGCAGAATGCAGGTCAGCATCTACTTAAGGCAAAAGAGCGGACCAGCTCCAGGGTTGAGCGTTATGCTGTGATGCTGGACTTCAGAAAACTCAAGCATCTTTCAAATGCTCCCGAATAATCAGAAAAGGACTTTCTCGAGATCTCAGGATAAGACTAAATAAAGCAGGACTGTTAAATGTGGCTTAAGAGCTGCCTCAAGCCCCCATCCGAGATTCCCCTGCTGGATTCAGTTGGCTTCTCGTTGTTAAAAAAAAAAGTTTTCAGAGGAAAAATTTAGGACAAACACAGATATGAGAAGATGGATCTGTTTGAAAAATAGGGCTGATCCAAAGCCAAACTTTTAGGATTTTGTGTCATTGGCAGTGCCGTACTTGGGGAAGTATAGAGAATTGACCTAAAGAAATTGCTGGTTCCAAGTCCTTTTCTCTGCACGATTGAAAGTGATGGGAGGTATAGTTAAAAAGCCCTTTTGCCCTATGCCAATTGCTTCACTGCCAGGTCTCAGGTAAAGTCACAGGCCATTGAGGAAGGGGATCTTTTCATCCCTGGATCTTCTCTTTTGGAATTGGCTATTTAGGAGCTCCATTTTGTATCCATATTATGAGATGGTGGTGTGGCCATGCGTGCATTTTAAACAAGGGTTGGAACTTTTAATGCCCAGAGCAGTGTTTTTCAACCTCAACAATGTGTGGACTTTTAACAACTCCCAGAATTCTTTAAGCCAGCATGAGATTGAGAAACAGTGCCCTGGTGTATTTCCAATTCATTTTCGCAGAATTGTTTGGATGAATTTATTAGTCTCACACATAAAGGGGACCCCTTCCAACATATCAGTTTCAGATAATCAGAGAGAGCCAAATTCATTTGAGAGTTTGACCCCAATTGAGTTGCAATTGGACTTTCCCTATTTCCCCCCCTAATACTATGTCTGCCTTCGTGGGAAATGAAATCCACAGAGAAGAAAAAGGATGCAGCGAGTGGGCTCTCATTTCTCACCTTGACATTCTGTCCTCAATCATTCATAGTCTACCAGAGGGCTACCAGAATGGGACAATTCACCATGGCCAACTCACCAGGGGACAACTCGCTGTGGGACAATTCAGGTTAATTCTTTAAAATAAAACTTAATTGGACTTTTGGTCATTCACTTTTTGTCCCTTCTTTTGCATCCTTTAATTGATTCTATTCCATCATTTCTTCAATCTTAATGTAAATCTTGTTCCATGACAAGTTGGTCGTGGCAAATTGTCCCGTGGTGAGTTGTCCTAGACCCCTTGTCCACTTCCCTTTTTTGGTGATGGCAATGCTGATTTTCTTCTTGGTTATTTTGCAGCCAGCATTTAAAAAAAAAAAACTTTTCAGATGATCATCAAATTCTACAAGTAGTATTTTGGCAGAGAGGCCATTTCTGTAATGAAGCAATTTTAATCAAATAGACAGAACTCTCTTGCTGTTTAATTTAGCAAAGGTGTTGTCTTTGGTGTACAATGAAGTGATAAATGTTACTATGACTTTGTTAACTAGGAAGTAGAACTAATTAAAACAATGTCCATTTTTTAAATGATTTTTGAGAGATTTCCAGTATAAATAAAGTAACATTTACATGAACATCTGGAAATGAACAATTCTGGTTTACTAGGGTATGATGAATGTATGCCGATACGACATTTCATGCTCTTGGGAAGGATTTGATGGCAAAAACAGCTAAAGAACTTGGCAGTTGTGATTTGCAGACTTAAATATATTTGTGCCGTTTTTGGTGGTGACCACGTGCTTGCTCAAGAGTGATCTCTCATCACTAGCACTAATGATGTTACTCAGTTTGAGTAATGAAATGTCTGCAAGAAAAGAAGCTCAGAGAACTTTCTCCGTCATAACTTGCGCAGCAACATTGGATGGGCTGCTCTCCTTACTAAATGTTTTGCCTCAGTATTAATCTCAATATTATAGAACGAATTTCCATTGGAGTGGAAAGA